TCCATAGATGCCATAGGTAAGGAGCTAAAATAAAAGATCATAACTTTGTCCAATCAAGTCGGATTTCGTTGATTTTGGTGTCATTCGACTCAGCTCGAGGAGCTCTTTCGAATGAGGTATCATTTGTATAATCGAATTTTTGACCCCAAAAATCAGCTTGGTCCCCCCTTTGGTTTTTCGATTTTCGAGAGCCCATATCTCGGTCCACAGGCGTTTCCGCACCCTGGGAGTAGTACCATTCGACTCAGCTCGCCGAGACGAATCAAATGGTATATATTTCGAATCGGTTTCGAACCGGCCACCGGCTAAAGTACAGCCCCCAATGGGAGCAAAACATTCAAATATTAAAGAGGATCACACAAAGTTTCCTTTCTGGTGTGGTTATTTGCCTGATGCTGATGATTTGGAACTTTTAAAGAATAAAAACGAATTTATTTTGCGATGTTTAGAGAATGATTCTTTGAGTTTGACGCTTTATGGTGGTCCTGCAAAGGTTATTTAATATTAAAGAATAAGACTTGAGGAGATTTTTGGGTCCCCAAAAATTTGAGTGGATGTCTTCACTTATTTTCAGCTTCCATTTTAGGCACTAGTCTAACGAAACCCACTAATTTCTATTTTAAGTTCATTAATGTTTGCCATTTTCAGATATCAAATTTTGTACTTCAAAAGAATAATTCTGGATGGCATCTAGCAGGTCAAAAATCAACTGAGCCAACATCCAAAGAATTAGTTGAATTTTATTGGGTTTATTTTTCAGTTATTTTTCAAAAATTTTCTTTTAACATTTAAGTGCACAAAACAGGCAATAATTCTTAAAGGAGACTGTAATCGTTTGGAGGCTCCAATTCTTCGCCCACATTGGTTACTTTCTTCAGCAAAAGTCTGGTTTGGAGACAAACTTGGCGAAGGCGCCTATGGAATTGTTTATAAAGGTGAATTAATGGATGGTGGGACAGTTATTGATGTAGCTATTAAACAATTGGTTGGGAAGGATATGAAGAAAGAGCAGATAGACAATTTATGGTCAGAGGCACGTATAATGACTGGATTAAGAAATGAACATGTTATCAGATTTTATGGGATTGTTAATGATAGCAAGGTTTCTAAATTAAAATATAGAATTTCTTTTAATCATTAAAACTTAAAAATTAGAAAAATTACAAATTATTTGGATGATATTATTTTTTATTTAAACGGAGAAATTTGATTGTTGAATTTTTGGAAGAATATTAATTATTTTATGGAGATGGAAAGTAAAAATAGAAAATTTTGTTTCCAGCGAAATCGTTTTTTTAATTTCTTATTCTATTTCTTTGTAGCTTGATATTACCGTTCATATCCATCTCGATGATCAACACATCAAATCAGGTCTCAATCGCTATTTTGAGACAAAAATGGAACGGTGCATTAATTGTTCAACTGTGGACCAGAAGGTTACCAAACTCTGGAAAATGTCCGATATCCTCATCCTTAGATTGTATAGGGATGAGTCGATTAAAAAGTAAGGAAAAGTAAAAAACTTATCATTTCCTCTAATTATAGCAAAGTAGTAACATTTCCCATGGAGTTGGAAATGAATGAATATGTTCACTGCCATTCGCCAATGAACATACTTATGCCAACTGTTACAGTAGTGAAAAATTCAATTTCTTAAACACGACTGCTTTATTGGTACAAAAAATTTTTTAACGGACAAATAAAATAATATAAACGTATGTTCTAATGAGAATAGTTAATAAAAATTGAAAAATTAAGCTAAAAAATATCAGAATATTTAAAAAATGTTACAAATATTTGTAATAATTTCCTTATTTTTAGGAAATTACAAAGATTTACATGCATAATGATTTTGATGGCATGAATGAGCGAGATTGCCATCGATTCCTCATTTGGCTTCTGATAAAATTATCGGAAGATTCCAATCGAGTATGGAATTTTTATTTAAAAAATTTAAACATTCTTAAAGGGAAATTATGAATAAATATGAATTTGGAATATTATAATGCCATTGCAACAACATCTGCCACCTAGTATTTGAAAAAAGAGAGAACATAGCTCGTCTGTTGTTACTGATATCTTTTTCACCGTTATCTCCAGAACAATGTGCTGAGCAACCAAAATACAACATCAATGGAGCAACAGGTCGTTTATTTTTTTTAAATAATATTCAAAATAAAAAATACATAAATACACAAAAAAATTAACATTTTGACACTTTCATTTTGTCAACTATTTCATCAATTTTATTTATCTTTCCTCTCTCTCTTTTTATCTCTTTTCCTTTGCCACCAAATTATTCTTTAATTAGTAGAGATAGGAGTGATAAGTTTAAAAGTATCTGTAGTACTTTTGAGATTATGGCTGTGACTCTAGTGGCCAAGTCATTGCTAATTTTAGGTTGAATTTGTGAATTGTTGTTTTTACGTAATTAAAGTAATTTTTTCTTTTAAGCGTTAGCTGAGAATTTTAATGTTCCCTAAATTCACTTACAAGTGAATGCCCTTTTCCTTCTTCTTCTCACCATCTACCACCAACACTACAATCTCAACATCAAAATCTTCGACATAACCTCATTCTTTTTACCTTCTTTCTTCCATCGACCACCATGATCTTCAAAATTGAAATTAATCCTAAAAGGATTTTAAACCCCTTTAAATCAGCACATCTTCTTGCTCTTTTCAACACCAACCATCATAATATCCAAAATATAAAATATAATCCTGCAAGGATTTTTAAAATTTAATTTAAATTATAAAAAAAATTTCCAATTTAAAATATAAAATTTCTTTTAATCATTAAAATTTAAAAATTGAAAAAGTTACAAATCAATTAATTGGTAGTTGTTTTTCGACGAAACAGAGAAAATTTATTGTTGGATTTTAAAAGGAATATTAATTATTTTATGGAAATTGAATGAATAAAAAAAGAAAATTTTAATAAAATCTATAAAATATTGTTTCAATGAAAATTTTAGCTAGGCCTGGCTGTTTTAATCCATCTAGAGGATGCACATATTTTATCTAGTCTGAAACGGTACTTCACGACGATAATGGAAACATGCATAAATTGCTCAGTATTAACTAAAAAGGAAACCAAATCCTTAGATTATATAAGGATGAGTCGATCAAAAAGTAAGGAAAAGTAGAAAACTTAAATCATTCCCTCTAATTATAGCAAAGTAGTGCCATTTCCCATGGAGTTGGATATGAAGGAATATGTCCACTGCCAGTCGCCGGATAAGCAGGGATGTACTATCTACACCCTCTACGGCATGGCTGTAAGTAATTTTAATACTAAATTTAAGATCTAAGAACTAATAGAAAGTGACCGTCTATTTACTCACTTGAACCTAAAATAAAACTTCAGGTGCATATTGGCCCTAATTATTTGAGTGGGCATTTTGTTGCCAAGGTGAAGAACTTGGAACGTTCTAATGATCTTTGGCACTTGTGTGACGATATGGAAGTCCATAGGATTTCACTCGAGAACGTTAAAGTATTTTATTTTAATGTTTAATTTAAATATTTATTTATTTGTAGAGCACGTCAGCTTATTCTCTGTTTTATGAGCGAAGAGGACAGAAAATGTAAAAAATTAATTATATTTTTAATAGTACATATGTACATATTTATTGTATTAATTGTATTTAATTTTAAATGTATATATGTCGGCGGAAAATTTCAATTTTAGGAAAATTTCAAATTTTCCGGAAAAATTCAATTTTTCCGACGATTTAGGAAAATTTCAGTTATTAATAAAGTTGTCAGTTGAGTCTGGGCTAGTTTTATGTTTTTTGGTGTTGTTCGTGTTTTTTTATGATTGTTTTTGTTTTTTCTGGGTTATTTATAAATTTTTTTATTTAGACAATATCACCATGGATAAATTTGGATAAAGTTACGACACGAAAAACAAACAACATAAACCTATGGGGAGTAGGTGAGACGCTTGTGCAAAACCCCGCGCTTCGCGCGGGGTTTTGCGGCACGCGTCTCGCGAGAGTCAACGGTCGCTGGGTTCTACAATAGTAACAATCCTACTCCTTTTGTCGATTTTCGGCATTGAAATGCCGACCTACCCATTCAGTAGTAGCACAAAAATTAAAAAAAAACAAGAACTAAATACAAAATTTAAAAAAATAAACAAAAATATTAAAAAAAGACAAACAAACCAAAAAAACATAAAACAAAGGAAAAACAAAAAAAGAAAAACATATTCAAAAAACGAAAAATAAGCGAAATAGTGCTAAACAGACTATTAAATTAATTTAATAACTGAAATTTTCCTAAAATTGAAATTTACCGCCGACATATATATTCCCGTTGTCCTTATAAATATAAATTTATTGCTACCTCCTTTTTGCAAAATAGATTCCTTTTCTTATTAAATAAATGTAAAATCTAATTATGTATATTAAGTAGTTTAAAAGTTAAAAAAAATAGTTAATCATTTTTCTTTTTTTTCTGTTGTTTATTTCTTATTTAACCAGGACAAATAAGTAGATCTCTAAATTTTTAAATACATTTTTAACTGTTCGTTCATTTGGATTACAAATATTAGGAGAGGTACTACAAATATTAATTTGAGAGTATTGTTTAGGCAGCTCCCATCCAATGTACTCATATTTTAAATCAATTACAAAAAGCCAGGACCCCTCACGGCCTCAAAATATTAAAAATGGAGCATTTATTTTTCTATTTGAAACCGATATCTTAAATCTCACAGACACTAAAACCAAATCGAATGAATTGTTAGACGTATCACTTATTCTTACATATTATTTTCGCTATTTTTACATATCAACAATTTCCTCCACATAAATTAAATTTATTAAAACACTCAACGTTGGCTAACTTTTAGCCATTTTTTAAGTAAAATATGAAATGAATTTTTATATATTGAGTAAATTTAAATTTATTAATAAAATAATTCTTTTCACGTTTATTCCCAAACTTTATTGTTAAGAAACAAAAAAAATATTTTTTTCTAATTTTTTTTCTTTAAACAGAAAAAGTACTTGTTGATTTTGCACTAATTTTATGTTGATTAATTATTTTGTTTTTTCCTTTTTTGCTACAAATTAAAAATAATTTTGACAATTTTTCTCTAAATTGTGTAGCAAAAAGTGTGTAGAGAAAAGGATTAAAAGCACTTTGAAATTGAACTAAAGCACTTGTAATTAATACAAATTCGAAAGGCAAAGGAAGTGGACGTCCAAATAATGCACTTTTTAAAGATAGATAATAAATTTTAGGAGGAAAAAAATTATTTTTAATAAAAATTACCTCCAAACAAAATAGGCAACCATTGGTGTATAACAAAGAAAAAATAGGCCGACACATAACTAATAAATAAATATATTAATTATAGTAATTTTAATCTCGACAAATTCTTTTTGCCCCGACAAACCAAGAATCTTTAATTTTTCGGTTTGACCCCGATACTTCCACACTTTGGATTAGGGGTGGATCGGGATGAGGAAAAGGTTTGGATAGTTTTCAAAATTTCCTTCTGGTCGGATTTCGGATAGAAAAAGGACGGATCCCTATCAATAATCTGGCTGAATCTTGGATACGCAAAAACCCGAATCTGACTTTTTAACCGATACATATGTGTTGTAACATCATCAATATATTTTCCTGGGAAGTATATCCCCTTTAAATTTTATTTATTTACCATCAACATTTTAACAACACTCCTTCTAGCACGTAAATTAGCTGAAGAAGAAACATTCATTGGTTTCTGCCTTTTTTCAGAAGAATTATTAAAATTAAAAATTTCTTCTTCTTTTGGGACAACTTTTCTTTTATTTTGAACATCAGAAATTGCTTCCCTAAATCTTGTTTCCAATACTTTTTTGATTGTTCGGCCACTTGGACGTTTATTTATGTTTGGCTTTAATTCTGTTTTGTTTTCTGAAAAGTTGAAAGTTTTTGAGTTGAGGGAGAAGGGGGGGGGGGGGGGGGTTTGAGGATGGGAGATTATGGATGTGGATTTAAAAACTATTAAAGTGTTTCTAAAAATTTCAGAAAATTTTCGGTTGAATTGGCGAATGGTGAGGCGTCTAAAACGTCTAAAATATTCATAAAATTCTTTTTTTAATTAAAAATTAACAACATTCAGCTAAATTAAATGGAAATCTTTTTTTTGAAAATTTTCCGTTCCTTCATGTAAAGTGAATTACTTGAGAAAATAAAGCTAAAAAGAAATTTCCGAATCATCTCCAAAAAAACATTTTCTCCCTTTTTATTCTATGTTCATAACAGGGGACGGTCGAGATGCTGAAGGTGTCAGAAATCGGAATTCCGGCCGACCACTGGTACACCCCCCCCCCCCAATACCTATTTGATTATTTAAAATTACCAATTTCATTTTGTCCTTTCCCATAATTTTCTCCATTTTTATTTTTAAACCACAAAACTCGACAAATTCGAGAATATAACAAAACAGAAATAATTATAGGTAAAGCATAAGTTAACAAAAATTCTGACCATTTATAAATTTTCCAAATTTTGCTTTTTGACGCTAAAGGGTTTCTACAAACACGCAAATCTTTTTTAAATTTAAGAATTATTTCTTTCCAATTTTTAAATACTTTTTTCTGGAATATCAAAAACTTGGAATACAACCAAATAAGGAAATTGATATGCCATTGCAAATACCCAAATACCAAAAGCTATAACCAAAACACGTGAACGAGTACACCAAACAGATGTGTGCATTGCTAGAATTGTAGAGATTATAATTTCTTAAATAAAATTTCTTGTTAAATTTTGTATTACATATGAATATAAGAGAAACCCTCGGGAGGGTAGAGACAGCCCTCCCCCTCCCCTAGTCCTCAACCTAATTAAATAAACGTATCTCCCTTTCTTTCCACTTCCTTTCTCAATTCAAAGCCAATTATTCTAAGATTACCTCATTCACTTATAAAATTATTAAAAAGGTGTAGAACAAAAAAATTTTTCCCAAATATTTTTTTACTAAAAATATGAGTTTTTAATAACGTTAAAATATACCTATAGGATGTACAATAGCAACATATCTTTTAAAAAATAAATTTAAAAATTCTCTTTCTCAAAAAAACCTTTCAATACAAATAGCTAAATAAGTAAGTATTGAAATTACTAAAAATATATTTCCAAAAAATCTGGCAATCGGACAAAACATATCACTAAAATGCCAACCCCCATCTCCATAAACACTCATAGATAACCAAAAAGGTGTAAATGCCAACAAATAAAGTAAATCTGCTATTGCCTTTTTTAAATTAATTTTTAAAAATTAAAATACTCAAATAAATAAAATAAATAATTTTTGTCAGATGAAAGTAACTAAAGAATGTTACAAAATTATTCTTTCCATTATCACTAATTTAGGACTAGAAAGTGTGAGGAATGGAAATTGTGGACGAAATCTGAATCGTGGAAACAAATAATTGGCGATATTTTGAAGGTATTCATTGCTACCATTCTCGAAATTTTTGTTTAAAATTTAGTCATTCAATAATGACCCTATTTTTTACTCAAGACAAGAAAAATTGTTATCAGCTTACAAGAAATCTTTTGCTTTATGTCTACCGTAGAAGTTAGTAGCATTTTTAACAAATATTTTAAAAGGGATTTTAAACAAAATCCCAAATCCAAAAATTAACTAATGACGAAAAGTTTCTAAAACAATTCAAACTGTCATTACTTAAATTAAATTGTGAATGTATTTAAATATATTAAGTAAATCTATTAATAAATACATATATTCCCTTCCTCTCGTTTTATCTCATAATTTTTTTGTTTTTACTTTTCCCTTTGATTTTTATATTAAAAAGCATTTTTAAATAATTACTTACCAAATTTAACAATAAAAGATTCATTGGAGATTTTCTCATTTTTCTATCACTCAAAATAGCAATAACAACAAGAATATTAGCAGTTAACCCAACAACAGTAACACCCCCAATTAATGAACCAAAAATTAAAGAAAAATGGAAAGAAACATCCCTTTTTTGTTGGAAATTAAAAGTTGTTTTTGTTAGGGAAGGAGTAGTTAAGTTGTTTTGTTGGGTTGAAAATGTAGGGGGAAATGTTGGGGATATTGAATTAATAATTAATGAAGTTGCTGTTGATTCTTCTTCTGTTATATTCATTTTTAGGGGTTTTTAATTTTAAATAATTCGATCTTATTGTTAATAATTCATTCTTTCGTCTAAAATAATTTAAAAATTTTTCTATAAATATTCTTTTAGTTAGATTTTATGGGGCTTATTAGATATTTATTCCTTCCTCTTTACATTCTCTAATATGTTAACAAGCGTTTTAAAAGCCTAACAATTATTTCCTCCTTTATTAAATCGAGAAATTTTTTAACAAAATTTATGAATAATTTAAATATGAGAATTATAAAAATTATCGAACACTAAATTTTTCTAGTTTAACCCTCTATCTACACTAAAATTTGGCTGAATTAGAAATTCTGAAAGTGATAAAAACATCTGACATTATTTTTAAAAATTAAAATTAATAAAATTTATTGTTGTCTAAAAATGAGAATTTTGGAAAAACTGTCTATTGTTGACTAGGATTTTTTAATCAAAATAAAATTAAAAATCCTAACACCCCCCCCCCTCTCTCTTTTCCTCTAAAATGTTAAAAGCATACACAAAATAATTTTTTAATTGTTGCTATCCAAACAAAGTAATAGTGAATGTGTGTGAATGATTGTGTTGAGGAGAAAAGGTTGTTTTTAAAACGTGTATTTATTTTTGTTTGTTTGTTTGCTTCTTTTTACCCCAAAAAATCAAAGGAATGAGTAAAAAAGGTTAGCAAAAACAACAAAAACACACTTTCGCTTCTCCTTCTTTTTCCACGTTTTCGGCCCAGCGAAAGAATCGACCTTGCCGAAGGCGTTCAATCTATATACTAATACACAAACAAAATAGTTTTTTACATTATTACTTGCAATTAGGTGTGACGAATGATTCAAAAGGACATTATTTTTTTACTTAAAAAGAGGAAACATTGAAAATTTTGAATAAGGAATAAGGAATTATTTCTGGTGTAATTAAAAATCAATCACAAAGGCTTTCAGGCATTTAAATGTGGAGAGGAATTGTTAAAAATTTTAATAAATTTGTTTTTTTTTGGGTCAGGAATAGTTGGAGGTAAGTCAGTACTTACTAGCAAAGTCGACAAAATATGTACCAGTACATTGGATGGGAGCTGCTTAAACCATGCTCTCAAATTGTAATATATGTAGTAGATCTCCTTTTTAAATACGATTTTCGGCACCAAGTGTATATTTACATATCGAAACCGATGTGTAATTTTAAATTTTAATTGTCTATTAATTGGCCGTCAAATGAGAGAATAAACAAAGAAAAACTACTTTTTTCCTCTTCTAAAGGACAACAATATCCAGACAGAAAATTTTTTTATTTTTAGTTATGTTATTTACATAATAATAATTCTCATCAAATTTTGCTTATAATAAGGATTTTACTGTTTTAATTAGTTTTGTCTTTGCCAATAAAATTAAAAACCTTCCTTTTTAATGATATTGACTGTTATTTGTAAATGGTCTCATTCAATTAAATAACTTGGAAAAAGATTAAGCCTAAATCCGTTGTAAACTAACACAAAAAATGCAGGGATTTTAAATAAAATCCCCATCCCAAAAATTAATTTCGCCGGAATTTCGCTATTGGAAATTTAAAAAATTGTATTACTTAAATAAAATAATAAATGTATTTTTATATATTAAGTAAATTTACTAAAAAGAATCTTTGGATATAGGGCAGTCGAGGGCCTGCCCCGAAACAAGACAAATGATATGTCAATCGATTTGTCTTGGCGAGCTAAGTCGAACGGTACTACATTCCAATTTTCAAAATTTTGGAAATTTTTGGTCAAAAAATTTTTTCAAAATTTTTCAGAAAAATTTATTTTCAAAAAATTGTAACAGAAATTTTAAAATTTTTTAAAGGCAAAATTAGTCTTCTACATAAAATACTGATTGAAAAGAAAAAAGAAAACTTTATTAAAAAATAATTAACAAATACCAACCAAAAAATAATCCTAAAAAGGCATAGTATTTGTGCCAGTCGTCTCTAACCCAGGCTGAACCTCATACTGTATTTAAAAGTTTCCATTTTAACATTTCCCTTGTTTACCAAAATGAATTCCAAAATGATTATAATTAGAGTGAAGAATTAGACAGTTAGAGAAACTTTTTTATTAAAAATTGCTGATTTAATTTTTTATTTTTATTTTAAAATACTGGAAATTTTATTTAGATATTTTTCTTAAAATTTAACTCATTTTTTGTTAATATTAAATAAAAAAATATTTTTCAATTATGGTTCAAAAAGACGATAAAGACAACAAAACTAAAAAACAAAATAAAAAGGAAGAAGAATTTGATAAGGAGGTTTAATTAATTAAATTTTTAAATAATTTAAATAATTATTATTTTAAAGTTAATTTCAAAAAATCCAAATCTTGAAATTGCCCAGCTTTTCTTTTTAATGGGGCAAAAGAATGATTCTTCTACTTGGCTGGCTTTACTTGAAGTTTTTTCGTTTAAATTTCAAAAATAAATTTCTCTTTAAGCATGTCAAAAAGGATGAAATGGCACCGTTTTATGAATATATGTGTACTTCTTTGAAAATTCCAATTGACCAAGCTTTGTTGGATAAACTTAAAGAACAAAATGCGAAACGTTTGGATGAAATAAATAAACAATTGGAAGATGCTGAGAAAAATTTGGGTATTTTTTTTAAATTTTATTTGGGGGTTTTGAGATGGAAATCGTTGAGATTAACCTGTTTTATCTATTGTTTTTTAAATAAATAAAAATTAGGATTAAGAGCTCTAGTAGGCTAGGACGCAAAGGTAATTTAGACGAGTCTCTTATGAAGATAGAGATTAGAAAAGACTGAAAAATCTGAAATAAAATCTCGACTAATTTAATTTTGACCTGCATATTACCATAATTATAAAATTTTACTTAAGGGGAGAGCGAAGTTCGTCAAGCTTGGTTAGCCAAATCTGAATATTTGTGCCAAATTGGTGATAAAGAAAATTCAGTTGCTGCTTTTAACAAAACTTTTGAAAAAACTGTTGGGGTTGGCTACAGAATTGATTTGGTTTTTAATTTAATTCGTATTGGACTTTTCTTTATGGATCATCAATTAATTACCGAAAATATTGAAAAAGCGAAAGAATTAATGGAAAAGGTTTTTTTAATTTTAAAATATTTTTGGAACAGAAAAATTATTTTTATTAAGAGATAATTTTTCGTAAAGGTTTTTTGGGTGAATTTTAGAGATAGAAAAATTAAGAGAATCTTGATTTTTTATCTAACTTGAGTTATTAAGAATTAGAAAACTGAAAAAGCGTACTGGTTTTAACCCTGAATCAAGTAAAAATAAAGGCAGGATTTATATCAAGTCCAACTACTGTTTTACTTTCTACCAAATATTTAGTAGTTAAATTGTAATAAAAAAATACGGATTTACTTTCCAAACAATTAAAAAATGTGTTCGACTTCAAAGAATTTTTTTGAATTTTAATTCTGAAATTTCTCCGTTTATAACCAAAAAATGTTCCTGTTATATTCTTTGGGTTTTTTTGTGTCTACTTATTTTTACATTCTTTAAGGGAGGGGATTGGGACAGAAAAAATCGTTTACGTTCATACCAAGGGCTTTATTTAATGGCCATTAGAGATATGAAAGGAGCTGCTGATCTATTTCTCGAAGCCGTCCCAACATTTGGTGCTTATGAATTAATGAATTATGAAGAATTAATTTTTTATGCTGTTATAACTTCTGTTTGCGGTTGGGGAATTTTTCTTTAATTTTATTTTTTACATAATAAAAAAAATTTCAGCATTGGATCGTCCTGATTTGAAAACAAAAGTTGTTAATTGTAGTGAAATACAGCAACAGGTTTATTTAATTTTTTTGTTATTGATCGTTCTCTTTTATGTAAACAAAAATTCGGTTTGACATCACCTTTAAGTTAAAATACTTGTCTTAAATCAAGTACATATATCCTTAATAGGGGTCTCTTCACCCAATAATAAACACCAATATAAAGTATGCCTTAAATTTAAATGTATTAAAAAATCACGTTTTCATTTTTAACATCCATGTTTTTCAGTTAAATGCAGAAATTGGCCAGAACAATGCAAATTTACCAATCGCCAAAGAATTACTTTATACTTTCTACAATTGTGATTATAGTAATTTTATGATTGCACTTGGAAAACTTGAACGGGATTTTCTTGTTAAAGATCGTTATTTACAATTACATTGCCGTTATTTTACAAGAACTTTGCGTATTAAGGCTTATCAACAATTTTTGACTCCATACAAAACGGTTAGTATATATTTTTGAGAAATTTGGATTTAGGCCCCAAAACTTCCTCAAGGCTTCCACTACCCCTCATTTTTTCTCTGTTGCTTATTATAGCTAGCAAATTCCGGATATCCAGTAATTTATCGGTAACCCCAATTAAATGGCATTGTTTTAAATTAATTTTGGAATATTTCTTTTTAATTTTTAGGTTAGTTTGGACGTAATGGCAAAAAGTTTTGGTGTTAGTAAAGAATATTTGGACCAACAATTATTTAATTTTATTTCTTCTGGAAAACTCAGTTGTCGAATTGACGCGTGTAAAGGAATTATTGAAACCGCCCAAACTGACCAAAAGAATTTGTTTTACAAAAAAGTTATTCAGTAAGTTTTGAATCTTTTTTTCTAATTTCTTTAATTTAAACATTTTTTAGTGATGGAGATATATTGCTTAATAAAGTTCAAAAACTTTCTCGAATTATTAATTAAATTGTTGGACAGTGATAATTTTTGATTTTCTTTTGCTTTTTTTGGGTGTTTTTATGAATAAAATTTTGAAAAAAAAATAAAAATTTTTCAATTGGTATTTAAAACCCTCAACTATTTTTAAATTAAATTTATAAAATTTTTATGCAAAAACAAACATGAGCATCAAGAATATTTTTTCTTTCTTTTTTTAGTCTAAAGTAAAATTTTTGTGTCTTTTCTAAAAATAAAATAAAACAAAAATTGTTCTTTTTAATAAATTAAAAAATAAAATACCTCTCTTTTAGTTAATACTTTCGTCTTCCTTTTCTTCTACTTTTTCTACCAAAGATTCAATAGAAGCAAAAGGAGTAGTAGTCTCTTCATCTTCATTAATAACATTGTCTTTCTCAATTAAAGATTCGGTAGAAGTAAATGGAGTATTCCCTTCTTTTGTCAATTTTGTAGAATTATTTTCGTCTGAAGGAAGAATGTCTTCTTCTTCTTTAGTTTCTCCGTTATTTTCATTTAAAGATTCAGCTGAAGAGAGGCAAGTCTTTTCGCTTGAACTATTCTCATTTGCAACATTTTCCACCATAGAATTAACCAAATTTGAAATCTAAAATTATTAAAAATATTAGTCAATTTGAAATTTTTTAACAAATAAAAATCCTGGGGGTTTAAAGGACAACTCTTCAAGGCTATAAATGACAATTTGATGAAAACCTCCTTACTTCTAATTTCCAAAAAAATAGACAATTACTCACTAATTATTTCCCTTCTTAATTACTACATGTTAATAATTTCTTTTAGTTTTTGGATTTATTCTCAGCTTAAAAATTTTTGTTTGTAGTAAATTCCCAACAAAATTTTATAACCTCAACTTCATCATCAATTTTTTCTTCCAAATGTTGTGATTCCGCCTCATCAGCAACCATAACACAACAAATTTTTGTCTCTTCAACATTTTCTTCACTCAAAGTTATAGTAACGTCATCTTTCTCACAAACACTCTTTTCTGGAAAAACTTCAGAATTAATTTCCAAATTTGTGTCAATTTCATTTTTATTTCCAATCTCTTCAGGTTTATCATCAAAATCAGCCCAAGAATCTCCACCTTTAAACAGTACTAATTAAAAATTAAAAAATAATTTTTATTACTTCCTCCGCCCAAACTATTCACTCCATTATCCCAACCATCATTATTGTTTGAAGCACTAACAACACTACTTGTATCACCACCCAAACCACGATTTCTACGTCGTTTTGCTTCTCTCATCATTGTTGTGCTCATATTTATTGTTTGCTTTCGTGAATACATTACCTTTAGAAAAAATTAAGAAGTTAAAACTAAAAAAATGTTTTTAGAGGAAGCGGAACTTGTCTAGTTAATATCTAGCTGTGTCTATCTAATATTTTCGAATCTATCGAGAATTGAGCAATAAATGGAAAATAGCCTTGGTTAACATAAGGTCAGTCAAACACGGCAAAATCCTATCAAACCCCCTTCCCATAAGAAATATTTCAAACAAATATGTATATTACCAAAAGCTTCCTGTTCATAAATTCCGTCTCATTAAGCAATTCAATTGCATTTTTTGCCTCCTCTTCACTTCCCAATTCAGCAAAAGAATAGGCATTCCCAGCATCATCATGTTCACGTGTATAACGAAAAACATCACAATCAACAATATTTAGTTTCTTAGCAAAAAGCATCGCAAAAAGTTCACTTTTATTAACCTCACCCGGAAGGTTGGTAATATAAATAACCTTTAAATTTGAAAATTAAATATTTGAAGAAAATTTTAAAAAACCTTCGAAGGAGGATTATCAAGTCTTTCTCCAGCTGGGTCATCTTTAATTCCAAATGGATCGTCCTTCATAGTAATCTGGAATTTACAATAATTATCTATATTGGAACTGTTTTATTTGTTTGTCGAAATACAGATCTCAATTCTAGCACAAAATACCTAGTTTCAGAAATTAAGACTTAAATTATAAAGGATGAGGTCCATACTTTTCGAAAATATTAAAATTTTCTTACTCCTTTCGGCAGCTGTCCAAACTTTTTGGGACTTCCAATCTGTTGCTTATTTTCCTCATCATGTCCATCTGACCCGTCTGTTTCATCATTACGCTGATTATTTTCATTACGACCACCTTCAGATTGTTGTTGAGATTCGTTTTCATTTCTTTGTTGTCCTGAACCAACAAACGATCCTCCACGTCCACGCCCTCGAAAGAGTGGGCCAGCATCCCTGTAGGTAGGAGGCGGTTCAAAAAGTGGACGTACTTGTCGATTTTCAAAATTCGTATGACGATTGTCATAATTTCGGTCTTTGTGGACACTAGTATTGCTTAACTTCTTTTCAATAATACGGTCTTCGTTGAGGTTTTCTCGTGACGAGAAATTTCCTTTCCCAGCATTATATGCACCTCGATAAGATTTTCGGTCACCACTATTGAAGTCATTACGTGAAGAAAAATTACGGTCTCGGTCTCCAGAATTGTATTGGTTTCGAGGATACGAATTACGATCCGTCCAACCACCACGACCACTAAAATTAAAAAATAGTTGATTACAAACTATCATAGAGACAATTTACATGATCCGAAATTTTTTTTTAAATTCCGAAGGAACTAAAAACCCAATGTCCAAAAATTTATCTTCAGAAAAATTCCCAAGTATCCCCCTCCCAAAAAATTAAATCTAAAACCAACCGTACATTCCCTCCTCTTTCACCTCTCCCTCTGTCATTTCCTCTTGGACGATCATTATTCCAATTGTTATTATTTGTCGATGAGTCAAATCCTCCTCTGTTAGACTTCCAATTGTTGCTATTATTGTTTGAGTTCCTTCCATATTCTCGCTGATTTCCAACATTAGATTCATCATTTTCATTTAACAAATTATTCGTAATAGTCTTGTTTGAATTAATAACATTATCCCAACTGTTATTAACTTCACCCCGTCCATTGGCATTACCTTCTAAAAATAAAATATAAATTTTAAGAAAAAATTAAACAAAAAAAGAACCAGTAGGACGTGCAAAAGAATCATCCTCTACGTTTTTAACAGTTTCTTGAGTTGGTTTAAAGTCATAATTGTTGTTACTCTTAGCGTTAAAGCTTCGGTTATCTTTTTTGTCAAAAGTTGAACGAACATTCTCTTCAGCAAAATTCGATTGTGTCGTTGATTTACCTCCACCTCCCCAAGAGTCATTCGGCTTATAAGTATCCCAACCAACATCTTGATTATCCCAACTTCCATCTGAATTAATTTTTTTTAATTGGCAGGGCCAAAGATTCAAAATGAAATATTTCCTTAGAAATCAAGGGAAAAATCTTATAAAATACCACTTAAAGGTTAGAGATAAAGTTCAATTTAACCCCATCTCACCGGGAGGTATTTTACAGTACAAAAAAAGGTATAAATCTCAATACAATTTTTAAGTTTTAGATATAAAAACCTGTAGGACGTCCCCAAGGATCTTTCTCAGCGGTCGATTCTTCCTTCGAAATTTTATTAATATTCGCCTCAATAGATGTACTTAATTGCTTGTTTGAGTCAGTCTTGCATTCAATTAAACTTGCTCGTGAAGGTTGTCTATCAACAATGTCGTTATCCCCAATATTAGACAATAAAGCATTTGGAACGAAGGCTACCTGAATGTCACTAAAATAGGAAAAATTTTAAAAATAGAAATATTCAAAAAAAATTAACCTTCCAAAAATTTCCATTCCATTTAATCCATCCTTAGCTCGAATTGCAGCATCGTGAGATTGCATCTAAATAAATTGATAAAAAATCAGCATGTCCAAAAAATATACCTTAACAAAAGCAAATGCATCGCCAGTCGCATAAAAAAGTTCGGAGACCATTTCACGATATGAGCGAACACCGGGCTTCTGAGCATGCTGATTGATAAGAGCGCGTAACTAAAAACAAATTATTTTTAAAAATCAAGTTTGGAAGATTTAAATATTTTAAATTAAAAAAACAATTTATTTACAGTGTCTGTTGTAACTTGTCCTAAGCAATGAGCAAAACTTCCAATCACCAGAATTGAATTGTTGTCATTAGCCTCACGAGATCATGAAACGAATTGCTGGCAATTAAACTATTTTGTTCGTTGGTCTGTCGCTTATACCGGTTCGTCCCTTGTCGGTCATTAGGCCACATTTAAAATATTTTAATAACTTTTCTGAAATTTATGAATAAAGTTTAATTCTAGCAAATCTTTTAAATTATCATTCAATTTATCTCGACAAGCATGAAGAATTATCTTAAGCTCGACGAAAAAAATCGAATACCCCCACCACTGGCTACTGGCCTCTTTCCCATGTAAATCACAAAACATGCCAACATAAGTCAAACAGTAAAAACAATGTTGAAAAAGAAATAATTAAAATTGGTCAATTAAAACCAATATAAAAATAACAGAAAAACATTTGCACAAATTTTACTTTGTACCACACAAAATAAATAATTTAAAATGAGATGCATTTTATATATAGATAGTGAAAGTCATAGTAGTGGCACTTAATTTATTGCATCAAATTGATATATTGAGATTGTTAATGAGGTGGGCTTATATGCAGACTCAAGAACAGTCAGCTTCAGGCTTAGGAGAACTTGTATGCGGGCCAGCCTGAAAAATTATATTTATTTTAAACAAATTAGAAGTAAAATTTCTTACAATAGACGGATGAATTGGATGAATAAAGCTAATCTGGCTCTCCGAAAGTGAACGTTTTCGAGGTCTGAAAGCAGCAATCGGCATTTTAGGAATGAGCTTTCGAGCAGCAGGAGGACGCACTGGAGTTGTTCGTGTCGGTGTTGATTGTGCACTTATGGTTGTAGTCGTTGTTCCAAAAACATTTTTGATGCGCCCAGGCGTCTGCGGGCCTTTAGTGTTCGAAAGTTGCTAAAAAAATTAAACTTAATAAAATAATATTAGCAACGCTCAAACCTTTTGAACACGAAGTAATTCACGTTCACGTTCATAGTCTGAAACCACTTG